TGGTGGGGCTCAGCGCTGCCTTCCTCTTCCTTCCACAGGTGGACAAGGGTGTTGTGCCACTGGCCGGGACGGATGGCGAGACCACCACGCAGGGTAGGTGGAGTGGGTACGGAGGTGGGGGGCTGTGGGGTGTGGGGCTGCGGGGCTGACGCGCTGCCTGGCAGGTCTGGACGGGCTGTCGGAGCGCTGTGCCCAGTACAAGAAGGATGGAGCTGACTTTGCCAAGTGGCGCTGTGTGCTGAAGATCAGCGATAACACCCCCTCTGCACTCGCCATCATGGAGAACGCCAACGTCCTGGCCCGCTATGCCAGCATCTGCCAGCAGGTACGTGTCTCTGGCTGGGCATCGCCCCACGGGGTGGCTGTTGACCTGATCCATGGGGCTCAGCATTGCCCCCGTGCCTGGGTATCACCCCACAGGGCTGGGCATCAACCCATGGGCAAGGTTACACGACAAGTGGATGGGCATTGACCCCCAGGCATTGCCCCATGGGGTGCATTACCCCACAAACATGGGCATTGCTCCATGGGGCCAAGAACTGACCTTCTTAGGTTGGGCATCACCCCACTGGGATGGGCATCACTGGCAAGGGTGGGCATTGAACCACGGGGCTGAGCATTGCACCCCAGGTCCAGGCGTTGGCCCACATTGCCACGGAGCCAGGGGGATGCCCAGGGACATCACCGTGATGGCATCTGACTGATGTTTGCAGAATGGCATCGTGCCCATTGTGGAGCCAGAGATCCTGCCTGATGGTGACCATGACCTCAAGCGGTGCCAGTATGTGACGGAGAAGGTGAGCTGTGGGGCAGGAAGCAGGGTGGGCACTGTGCTGTGCTGTGCCATGCTGGGCAACTCCACACTGCCTGTCCCCACCAGGTGCTGGCAGCTGTCTACAAGGCACTGAGCGACCACCACGTCTACCTGGAGGGGACCCTGCTGAAACCCAACATGGTGACCCCTGGGCACTCCTGCCCCACCAAGTACAGCCCTGAGGAGATCGCCATGGCCACTGTCACCGCCCTGCGCCGCACTGTGCCCCCGGCCGTGCCAGGTACCAGCACCGGGATGTGGCGAGGACCAGGAGGGTGATGCCCTGTGGTCCTGCTGGTTCCATAACCCCAACTCTCTGCAGGTGTCACCTTCCTGTCTGGGGGTCAGAGTGAGGAAGAAGCTTCCATCAACCTCAACGCCATCAACACGTGCCCGCTGATGCGGCCATGGGCCCTCACCTTCTCCTATGGGCGGGCACTGCAGGCGTCGGCGCTCAGCGCCTGGCGCGGGCAGCCGGACAATGCCACTGCTGCCACCGAGGAGTTCGTGAAGCGTGCAGAGGTGATGGGGATGGTCCCCATGGGAGACGGGCACTGAGGGCTGCATCCCATGGGGGACACCAAGGGTTGTGCCCCATGGGATGGTGGGAACACCAAGGGCTGTGTCCCCATGGTGAGGGGGTACATGGATGACTGTGCCCCTTGGGATGGGGGATGCTGAAGACCATGTCTCAAAGGGTGACAGGAGACATCAAGGGCTGTGCCCCACAGGACAAGGGACACCAAGGGCCATGGTCCCCATGGGAGGGACGCTGAGGACTGTCTCCCTGTGGATGGGGGGACAATGAGGACTGCGTCACCAGAGGGCAATGGGGGATGACCAAGGGCCAGGTCCCCCAGGGATGGGCCATGCCCCCGAGGATGACATGGGACATGGAGGGCTGTGTGCCTGTAAGAAGGAGGGATGCCAAAAGCCACGTCCCATGGGGTGACGGGACACCAAGGGTTGTGCCCAGCAAGATGGGGGATGCTGAGGGCTCTGTCCCCGTGGGAGGGGGATGCCAAGGACCATGTCCCCAG